AATAACCCCAATATTATTCAAAACATGTATGAGTTTCTTTCGTCTCTGGAACATGAAAGATATTTCGAGATATTTTTTGTTGTCCGTACAGTTGAAGTCAATGGGGTCCAATGTTGTTTGGCTCCATCATCATCTTTTGTGTTCAGCAGAAGAAAGTACGTCATTTTCTTTCATTTCTTTCATCATCAGAGTGTGATAAAACCACATTGAGTGATTATGAAAGTGTTTTTTTCTTTCTTTCTTTTTATTATTTTTCAAGAATGTTTTATTTAGTATATTAAAAAAATGCAGTAAAAAGAAAAAGAAAAGAAAATAAATGCCGAATATTTTTGTGGAAATCGTGATGCATTTGATTTTTCAGGATTCACAGATGAATAGAAAGTTCAAAAGAACAGCATTTATTTGAAATAGAAATCTTTTGTAACATTATACATGTCTTTACTGTCACTTTTGATCAATTTAATGCATCTTCGATTAATAAAAGTATTATTTTTATTTATTTTATTTTTGTACTTATCGTAGTTTCCACAAAAATATTGGGTGAATTTTTGGGTGAACTTTCCCTTTAATACTAGAAATACTGTTCAGATTCTAGAAGTACGTTATATAGCAGTATCATTATAGTTTTTGTTAATTTTCTGAATTAGATTTTATTTTTACATTTTGTGCTTTCATGTTAATTTTAGTTAAAGTTTTAGTAAATTTTTTGTTTTTGTTATTTTTATTAGTTTTTGCTGTTTTTAAAAATGTCTATATAGTTTTAATTTATTATATTTTAGTTTTAGTTGTTTCAGTACATCAAGTTAAACTAAATGAGAAATGTTGCCTTGGAAACTAGCTGAAATAAAATAAGTTTAATCCTTTGGTGCGCTTTAGTTATTTTTGACTGAAAATTGTATGTTTTTTTTCCCAATTTTTTTTAACTTTATCAGAATGGTAAAGTTTTTGGAATTTGCTATGTAAATACGAGAAAATAGTCGACTTTTACTCCTCGTGGTGGAAAATGACTGCATTGGAAATGAGTTTCATCTAGTGGAAGCGTTTGGTACTGCAGCCAAACTCAAAGCTCATTTTTTTGTGATATCAACCTTAAATTCGGAGCACAACTTGTTTAGATTTACGGCTTTGATTTTCTCACAGTTTTAAAGTAACACGTGTTTTGGAAAACATATTTCATATAAAATTTGAACAGTGTTTTTGTGCATTTTTCATAACAATAAACTTAAATTTTTATAAATTTTCTATAGTTTCACCTTTTAAACTTTTCTTTTTAATTTTAGCAATAATCGGCCAAGTGTCGTCTTTAAAAAAGCATTCAGGATTTATGACAGTTTAAGTTGGAAATTTAATTTTCAAGTTACTCAAAAAGCGATTAACAAGTAATAAATAGATTGTAAATACTGCATAAATATAACTTAGTACCATAAAATCCCTTACAAATACTAAATATTAAATAAAAAACTTTATTGAACTCAAATATAGTACATCCATTTCATGGAAGTAAAAAAAAGGTCATTTTTGACCACCACGCGACAAGTTTTTTATATTTCATTTCAGTTAGCATTTATTTTATTTGAAGTAACAAAAATGCTTTTTTTTTTTTTGATGGTTTTAGTTTAGTTTTAGTATTTTTTCTCAGTAACTGCCAGTGTTTAACTATTTTCCAAGGTTCTCTTGATTAGTTGAACTACTATAAATCACCTGTGAGTGGCTTGTCTCTCGATGAACTGCTGTTTCTGAGTGTTTTGTCGGATCTCCTCACGATCCGCTTCTCCTCGAGAGTCTCCAGATGTTTTTTATTCACTCTCGTGAAGCCTGATCCTGCGCTGAAGCTCTTTAACCCCTTAGCTGTCACCCCCCATTTTCAACATGAGACACAAATGACATACCCAAAATAAAAAGGTTGCTGCTCATGAATCTTTCTTACTAGATACATAATCAACATATGTTCACAAAGCTGATACTTCAAAGTCTACTGTTCAGGAATCAGAATTACTCTGACTGTTATGACAATAGAGATATATAAGCTCAAACATAAAAACAAAAATAAAAAAAATATATATTTTTTTAAATGTATAAAAAAATATGTTGCTGTGGTAAATGCTTTTAGAAACACAATGAAGCTAAAGCCACAAGTCTACTAATGCTTCATTTGAAATTTCAGGACATAATCTCTAAAACTGTGAATTTTATGAAACATTTTCTAAGACCATGTCATGTGTGTTTTTAGAGAAGGCTAATAAAAGGCTAATAAAATTGATTATGATTATGATTGATTTATGGCTCTTCTCAGCGCAGGAGCTGAAGTCACGTCTCGATCCATGTGATCGAACATGTTTCTAGCCCACTTATGCTCTGGATCTGACTTTAATTCTCTCAACAGTTGTTTCTAATTTCCTCACGAGTTTTTTGAGCTCATGTTGACTCTGAGTACCGTCATTCAGAACGATGAAGAGATATTCATTTTGCTGGTGTATTTTGGTCTGTTTTGCTTCTCTCTCTCTCTCTCTCTCTCTCTCTCTCTCTCTCTCT